GCCAAAATCTGACCCTACCATCTGAAAGTTGCAGCAGAAATGGAGACTCATCAAACCAGACAAATTTATTTTTTTATCTTCTATTATCCAATTTTAGTGAGCCTGTGTGAATTGTAACCTCAGTTTCCTGTTCTTAGCTGACAGGCGTGGCACCCGGTGTGGTCTTCTGCTGCTGTAGCCCATCTGCCTCAAGGTTCTACGTGTGTTTGTTCAGACATGCTCTTCTGCATACCTTGGTTGTAACAAGTGGTTATTTCAAATCAAATCAAATCAAAGATACTTTATTAATCCCAGAGGGAAATTAGAGTTTCAGTACACACAATTCAGAGATCAGACATACATGGGCAAGACACATGACAAGAATTGGTGAGTGCGGTCATTCGCAACCCTGAGTCGCGCTACTTTAATAGAGATAAGAGGGTTACATGAGGATTGGTTCAGGTGGAGGGAAAAAGGAACTTCGGAGTTACCCTCCACCGGGAGGGCAGCTTTGCTCTGCTAAAAAACACCTCAAACATTTATGCAACAGACTTCAGACATTACACAACATAAGTGTCCACTAGGTGGGGTGGTGGGTTGGGACTATCCCTACTTCAGTTCCTGCAGCCACAATAGAAGCAGCGCATGTCACCTCAGTGTGGATAGGGGGAGGAGCATTAAGGGTTGGAGGGTTGCAGTGACCCTGGAACGTTTCAGCGGCCTTCCCGCAGTCCCACCCAGGCTGGGATAGGAGATAGAATTGAGTTGCCATAGCGACAGCACATTCCATATATCTTCTGAGGGGGGACTTTTCGTTGGAGCATTGCAGGCTCAAGGACACCAGATTTCGATTAAAAATTGTTTTGGGGCCAGACAGAGATAATTTCCTCTCTGTCTTAAAGTTTGTTGGTTCTCAACCTCTCAAAATCCCAATAATGGACATTCAACTATCCCAATCCGTGCTGATTAGTCCACTCTCTCCTTGATGGCATCCATCTTTTGTGCCAAAAACAAATTTGAGTTACTGTTGCCTTTCTATCAGCTCGAACCAGTCTAGCCATTCTCCTCTGACCTCTAGCATCAACAAGGCATTTTCGCCCACATAACTGTCACTTGCTGGATTTTTTTCTCTTTTCGGGCCATTCTCTGTAAACCCTAGAGATGATTTTGCGTGACAATCCCAGAAAACCAGCAGTTTCTAAAATACTCAGACCAGCTCGTCTGGCACCAGCAACCATGCCACGTTCAAAGTCACTCACATCACCTTTCGTCCCCATTCTAAAGCTCGGTTTGAACTGCAGCGGATCGTCTTAGACCATGTCAGCATGCATAAATGCATTGTGTTGCCACCATGTGATTGGTTGATTAGTTGCGTTAATGAACAGTTGGACAAGTGTACCCAATAAAGTGGCCAGGGAGTATATAATTTCATCCTAAACCTCTGCACACAGACGTGTTTTAAGAAAAGCATGTTTGTTTGTTTTTTGTCTTTGCTTTCATGATTTTCTCCTGCAAACAGAAGCACCAAACACCATTTTAGAGTTTCTTTGGTATCATTGTCTGTGTTTCATTGGTGTATTATTCATAGAATATAGTGTGACTGTCACGCTCTTCACTGGTTTATCTAGCTGCAGTGGATAAAATAATTAAAACCAACAGTAGTTTTTTCTAAAGGTTACACGTCCTGTGTGAGTGATGGCTTGGATTTATGAGTCTGATTGATGAAAAACGGAGATCCGTGTATGAAGTTGTGTCAGCGTGTTTGTTTTTCTCAGATTGATAGCTTTAAACAGGGATACAGTGAGCTGGAGGATAAATCAGAGTCAGTGCATCTCAAAGGGCAGCAAGTGACTCATGTTTATTTCATGATTTACCAAGAGAACAGATTGCATCATAGAGCACGTCACAGAAACCGCAGCTTCTCCTGAACGCTGCAGCACATATTACCTCTCATCCCATCAACTCCATCCTGCAACAACAGCACTGGCTTTCCATCAAACAGAGAATCCAATTCAAGATGATCTTCATCACGTTCAAAGCTCTTCATAACCTGGCTCCATCCTTCATATCTGACCTTGTTCACATAGTGACTCCTGTTCGCTCACTTTGTTCCTCTTCTGCTCCTCAACTTTCATCTCCCTGTTTGCCTCGTCACCATGGAGCGTAGAGCATTCAGCTGCTCTGTTCCCCACCTCTGGAATTCTCTCCCCCTGACCTCCGCACCTCGCCTTCTCTCCCACTTTTATAAAATCAAAACTCAAAATCCACCCATTCAGACAAACTTATAACTCGTAGTATCCAGTTTACCATTTATTGTTTTTATTTAATTATTTCTGTTTCATATGTTTATGTTGTTCATATCTGCCTTGTTGTAAAGTGTCCTTGGGTGTCTTGAAAGTTGCAATGTATTATTATTATTATTATTATTATTATTATTATTATTATTATTATTATTATTATTATTATTATTAATATCTAGTCTCGATTTACCAGTCGATCTACATTCCTACTCTCACCTATGGTCACGAGGTTTGGGTAGTGACCGAAAAAACGATATTGCAGATACAAGCGGCTGAAAAGAGTTTTCTTCGCAGGGTGGCTGGGCTCTTCCTTAGAGATACGTGTGGGAAGCTCAGTCATCTGGGAGGGGCTCAGAGTAGATCCGCTGCTTCTCCACATTTAGAGGAGCCAGTTGACGTGGCTTGAGCATCTGGTCAGGATGGCTCTTGGATGACAGTAGCGCGACTTGTGTTGCGAATGACCACAGTCACCAATTCTTGGAATTGTGTGTACTGAAACAATTGAATTTCCATTTGGGATTAATAAAGTATTTTTGAATTGAAGTGTAATGTCTCCCTGGTGAGGTTTTATGGGCACGTCCAACTGTCTCTCGGCTGGCCAGGGAACGCCTTGGGATTTCCCCGGAAGAGCTGGCCCAAGTAGCTGGGGAGAAGTAAGTCTGGGCATCTCGGCTTAGGCTGCTGCCCCTCGCAACCTGACTCTGGATAAGCGACTGAAAATAAATGGATGGATTATTATTATTACATGAGCAAGTACAGCGTTAGCAGCAGAGGCCCCAGTTTGACCTTAAATGTGTGTCTGGTGGACCTTTGATGTATATAGACGGGGACATTTGTGCAACATTCTCTGGCTCTCTTTCTCTCCCTTCGTTTCACATCCAGACAGAGGAAGAAAAGATTTTAAAAGCACCAAATTAAATGTGACAGAATACTGACAAAAGTTATTTTTGCAAATCAAAGGGAAGGAATCTGTATGAATTGCAAAGTTATTTTGACACCAGTCACCGTTTTGACCCTCTGAAGTGCTTTTGCACACATTTATACACTTATGTGGACACTTATACATGCGCGCGCGCGCGCGCACACACACACACACACACGCACGCACGCACGCACACACACACACACACACACACACACACACACACACACACACACACACACACATTGAAGGACAAAGGATAACTTGATAACTATCATATTTAAAGTGTGTGACTGAAGGTTAGTGTGTTCCGGAGTAGCCACTTCTTCAGGAGAAAGGTACATGAGTCCATCAGAACAGTGGGTGAAATAAAAGTGCTCTCCCTTTCAAAAGGCTTTTAAGGCAACTACTTTGTTACAATAAGTGTGTCAGCATAGTTCTCAGAAAATTACATGTTCCTGTAGCAACATAAGGTTGCAAAAAAAGTTTTTATGTAAATGTTTTTTACTTAATAAACAATTTTAAAAAATTTTCCTATTTCCTAAATCATGATCCTATTTGCTTGTTTAAAAGTCCTAATGGATTTTTAGTATTTTCAACATTTTGGTGCATTTTCCCATGTGCCTTCAATAAATTAGTTTGGTGAATGTAATGTTAATCTTTTATTTTCAGTATTTCACAAACGTCCAACTATCATTTTAGTACTAAAATACACCAAAGTTTAAATTGAGGACACACACACATTATTTAATGGTTAATTTAATACAATCCAGTATTTTCAGGCATGCTTTTTATAATAGGACTGTTTGTATTATTGTCTCAGTGGTTGTAGGTTTATTGTTCTTTATGATGGATGTTTGAGGTTTAGGGGGACAGTTAGATTGCACCACCTAGTGGTCAAACGGGGCATATTGGTCGGGGAGTGTTTACATGGTCAAATTAGTTTTAGAGGGCACATTTAAATAAAAATATTAATAGATGTACAACTGCAATAACATTTAAATTTGTGTTTTTAAAATTCACTACAAATATTAATCTACTTACTCTATTAAGCCATCGTCAAATATTGGATTATAAACTCGCATAATCTCAACCTCCTGAGCTGATGTGTGGACACAGTGGGACAAAGAGCCCCAGAGCAGAAAATTGCTTCAGTAAAAATCATTGTGTCTAACATAAAAGCTCTGCTTTTATCTCTTTCTTGTTTGTAGCCACAGTGGAAATGCCGGTGTAACCAGTTTACTGGATGCATTAACGGATCATTTTACATCATTTTTGTAACATGAGAGCAAAGTCTTCAGAGTTGCATGAAGGAAGTAGGGTCACAGCCCTCATTCTGGTTCACTTTGGCTCATCATGGTACTGTCAACCAATCTCAGCAGCGCTGCGAACACACGACAGTGTCTGCCGGACCAACAAGACCACTAAATGAATGTTTAATGAGCATTTAGAAGCAATAATGGCATGTCGCTAATGTTCTCTAATGATCTTCCTGTTGGTGGCCACGCCTCGACGCTTCCTCCTCCTCTGATAGTTGTCTGACAATGGTTTGAACTTTGCTAAAACGAGTCCCGTCGCTTTCTCTTCAGTTTCTGAGGACCGCGTAGACTAATCTGTGCTTTGGCTTCCTCTTGAGGAGTATACAATGACTTTTCCTTTGAGAAAGTCTGCTTCAGGTATGCTTTTGAATATTGATTTCGGGTGTTTGATTTTTCTCACTAACTGTCTTTAATAATTATTTTTAGATATGTATCTAAAATAGTCTGTACTGTCCCCTGTAATGTTAAATTGGTTGAATTGTGCTGGATAGTATTTAAATGAGACTTGTCTCTGGAGATTTTGTTTCAGCTTATTGTGCTTTTGGTGTCGTGTTGCTGTCCATGGTGCTGAAATTCTGTTTGCAGTTTGGGACCTTTCCTTATTTCGTGATTAGCCTTTTTCTTGGTCAAACAATGATATATATATATTTACTTTTAAGCTTTTTTTTACATCTTTCCGTCTGGTGATTGACTTGTTTACTTAATGAACTCACCTCTAGCTTTTCAAAACCAAATTTTCCTTAGAATTTAGACGTTAAATCTATAAAACCAGATTCCTGTGATGGGATACTTTTCTAACCACGAGGTGTGGTGATCCAATCTTTAATGGCAGTAAAAGAATAAAACGTAAAAGACACGTTGGGACTCTAGATGGCACCATTGCTTAATCTGCTGTCTCATTGAATCCAGTGGGGAGTAAACGTGAAGCACCGAGTCTGCAGCCAGAACCTGTATTGACCTTTTTGTCATGGATTATTATTTAATCATGCCCGTTCATTCTGCACACGTCTGCAGTTTTAGTTGCAGTTTTATTACTCACACTGATTTGTAACATTCACTGTTAATTTGACGGTTTTAATCTTTTTATAAGGATAATGCGCAACATGGATGCTTTGCGCTCAGCTCCATCAACATATTTATACGAAAATAGTCATTATTCTATTTTTGGCCTTGTTTTTTTATATTGTATTTCCTGCACTGTCTACACTGCCATCTAAAACAAAGAGAACATGAAATCCATGTTTTTCTTTCCTTTTGATCTTGATTTTCTCCTCTCTACACCCGCCCCCACGCCTTTTCCATCCCTTTCTTCTTATGATATGGACTATCTCATGTGACAGCGTGTGTGTTAGTCGTGTCCTCTATGTAAAGCCCTGCCTGGGTCTGTGGGCAGCCTGCCTCCCTCCCCCTCCTCCCCCACGCTGCTCTTTCTCCAGGTTGTAGGTGGGGATGCTCTCCAGTAAGGCTGACTTTGTGTTTGCGCAGGACTGCAGTTGATTCAGCATGAGGCGCTTCCTGTCTTTGTTTCGCGTTTGCAAACTTTAGAAAAAACTAAAGGGGATTCCGAAGTGGTCGGTGCACATCCTCTGCGCTGCAAGTGGAGACTGTTTCCCGCGATGGATGGGGAAAGTTGTAGTGCGTAAACACTCTTCCGGTATCTGCGAACAGGTGTTTCCATTCCCAGGTTTGGAAATGAGCGTCATTCACGACTATCTACCAACATGTGCGCGTCTGGGTAGTTCGCTGGGATAATGTAAACCCAGGCTGGGTTTGTGCGTCTTTCTTGTGATTCCAAGAAAAACGACACTGATGGAAGAACACGCAGTGTGCCGTGGTGAAACTCTTTTCACGTCTCTAAATGGAGCGTTTATTTTTTATTTATTAAATTTCACTTTTTCTCTGGAGATGCAACGGGAAAGTCCTGCATAACGCGAAGATTCATGAGAAAATGATCCATTTGGACACTGTCTGAGCGGACTGGGCTTTGCTGCGCCTCTGGGAATATTGCGTGTCACTGTTTTGTGCACTTTGCAAGTTCTTGACTCAACCATCCTTGCAGTTGCCTCAGATTGTTGACACTGTCCCTGGACGCTTCGTACAAGAACCCACTTGTCTCGATTCACTTTTCTCTGGAAGTTTTTTTCCCCACAACGCGCTGCCAAACTGGCGATGGCAGCGGCGATCGCCAGCTCCCTCATAAGGCAGAAAAGGCAGGCGAGGGAGCGGGAGAAATCTAATGCCTGCCGCTGCGTGAGCAGCCCCAGTAAAACCAAAGGAAGCTGTGAGAAACCCAGCCGGCTGAACGTTTTCTCACGGGTCAAACTCTTTGGCTCTAAGAAGAGGAGAAGGAGACGACCAGGTCTGTGGTGTGACTTTATCAGATCGTTCACCATATTTATGAATTTATTCATTTATTTATAGAAACACGTGGTCATATAAAATGCGCTTTTGTGAAAGTTGCTAGAATAATAAATGGCTTTAACTTTAGTTCACGTCCACATTATATGTGGAAACGGATTCTCAGGCATTCACTTTTTACACATTCAATCTTTCAAATCTATAAAAAAAGACTGACAGAACAATAACTAAAAAATGTTTTATTTATTATTTATAAATTATTTTATGTACATTCTTAACAAAACACACATGCAAGTCTTACACGTGGTTAATTCACTTTCCAAAATCAGGCCCAGACTTTTTTTTTTTCTTTTTCATGTTACCTTGTTTACATTTTGCAAGCAACCGCTTTCAATGTGAAGATGTTTGTGGACAAAACTGCACATCTCTGACTCCACTAGTTTCTTTTCAGAATATAGTTTTATAACTATGTGCATCTGGTGGTTAGAGTTCCTGTTTGCATATAATAACAGTTCTTTTGCACCCTGCATACTTCCAATTTTCATTTCTGTCCTGGAGGAAACAGCGAGAGCCAAGAATGCATTTTATTCCTTGGACAAGCACAAGCTGCCCTCAGTCACACACACAACCTAAGTTGTTTGTGCACATGCGGTTCTATATATTTATATGCACATGTGCCTCTCTGATCATGCTGATTTGTGCGCATCTGTAGTTACAACTTATTATTTACGGTTTTAAAAACATGATTCACTGTTTAACAGCAGAGTAATTTCACCACCCCCTGTGTTTATCTTGAATACACTTTTTTATGCTGTAGAAGTGACTCCAGTAAACCCAGTGGCTCTGCTGAAAGGTGGGGGAGGTAAAAGGACAGATGAAAGGTGTGGTTAACCGCTGTGAGACACTCCCCAGCAGGGACAGTAACCAGATAGTGGGACGGTGTGATGATGTAACACAGCCAATCTGACCAGCTCTAACAGGAAATTATACAGCTGGATGTTTCTCTAGATGACTGCAGCACATGTGACAAAGAGAAGATTAAGAACAGTATAGCACAATTAGCTGATGTGCTCTTTTATAACCCCGGATTACATCAGAGCAGTAGTTTAGATTGTGAGTGGAAGTCAATTTTCTTTGCATGTGTACCTTTAACTTCCAGAATTGATTACAGAATAAATATTTATTTGGCCGTGACTTACAACCACGGTTTTATCGAGAGAAAATCTTTCTTGAGATGAAATGTAAATAATTGCTCACCATCTGCTTCAAATGTTAATTTTCTTCAACTACTGGATAAATTATTGTGTATGAATTATTAATGATATGGTAACCTACATTAGCTTTCACATTTTTCTAGTATAGGCCAATGGGATGGCATATGTGTGCCACCACATTTCAAACCACTCTAACTTGTAAATGTTGTACATCTACAGAGTGAGAAACACGACGAAATGTGTGGATTCCACCAACACCATACCTGCCAAAATCTCCTGCAATATTCTCCCGTTCTTTACTGTTAGTCACAAAAACAAACTCGAACGGTAAATGTGATACACTTAGCTTTTTACTCGTGGAAGGATGAAACATAGGTGAAACTCCAAAAATTTGAAAATTGTTTAAAATTTCAATAATTTCCCTTAAAATGTTAAATTATGAGATACTCATCACATGCAAAGCCAGATATTTCAAGCCTATTTTTATTATAATTGTGATGATTATGGCTTACAACTCATAAAACTCCACGTTCAAAATCTCAGACATGGTAAAAAAAAATCTAATATTCTAGACTCAAAGTGTCACACTAATCAGCTAATGAATCCAAAACACATGCAAAGGGTTCCTGAGCCTTTAGATGGTCTCTCAGTCTAAGATAAATTACTTAAATAAAGTAATTTTGGCACCATGTCCAAATTTTTCCAGCTTCACATGCAGACAGGGTAAAAATGATATAATTCCTCAAATAAACACGGTTTTTAAATGCCACCATCTCGAGTGGCTTCCTAAATGTACGTGAGACAGCTCTGTTAGCATAGCTCTGATGAAAAGGGACAACTGATCACACCTTTTACAATGCTACGCCCCTTCATAGACACACAAATTAGTAATTATATAATAATAATGAAGTGGAAGAAGAAGGCTGGAGCACTCAGGTCAAAATAAAACATATTTAATTGGTTCACTTAAACAAACTAAAGTTTTCACTTTGCTGTGTTTGTCAGAGTTACAGCTTGAATGATGCAATCAGTTTATTTACAGGTGTTTGTGCTTATTAGACAGAAAACATACTAATCAAAAGCTCATTGATTATGGAGTCAGGGGTTGGAGAAAAGGAGGAGTTGGTGAATTGATTATTTTCAAAATGTCTCTTATCACCTATATGCAGATGACATTCAGCTGTACTGCTCCTATAAGGATTCTGAGTTCTACAAACTGAATTACTAGAGTTTCCTTCAGCTATCACCAGCTGGCTAGAAGATAACTTCCTTCAGTTAAACTCTGAAAAGACTGAATGTCTGATCATTGCCCCTGAGAGCATGGTTCCCCTGATTAGTCTAAAACTTGATCATTTATCCTTTCCCATCAAGACAAACTGAAGGAATTTGGGTGTTTTTTTTTTGACCAATCAATGTCTCTTGAAAGTTACTCAAAAACGTTGGTCTGAAACTGCAAATGTTGGTGTCAAAACATTACCCGGAAATGGTTATCCATGCCTTTATTTCCTCCCATCTAGATTACTGTAACACACTCTTCACGTTTTAACAGAACAGCACTTGGCCACCTTTGGTCCAGAACTCTGCAGCAAGGCTCCTAACTGGAGCAAACAGAAGAGGACACATCACTCCTATTCTAATGTCTCTGCACTGGTTACCCGTTAACTTTAGAGTTCATTTTAGAATCCTGACTATAACTTTCAGGGTTCTTCATGGTCAAGCACCTCCCTACTTTACTGAAGTGTTAAAGCCTTAGGCTCCAACCCGAGCCCTAAGGTCCACCCATCAGAACCTTCTAGAAGTTCCAAAAACCAGATATAAAAGTCGAGGTGATCGCTCCTTCCAGACTGTTGCACCCTGACTTTGGAATGATCTTCCTTTATCCTTACGCAGCATTGACAGTTTAGACACTTTTGAAAAAAAACAGCTAAAGACCCTTTTATTTAAAGCTGCTTTTACCTAAACCTTTTATTTTCTCAATTTTTTTATCTTTCATCTGCTTATGAAATGTTATAATTTTATAACTTGATTTTTTCTGATTTGAATCTTTTTATGTTTTGAGATCATTATGATTTTATGACTTTTTATTTGATTTTGATCTATGTGAAGCACTTTGTGATTCAATGTCTGTGATAAGTGCTATATAAATAAAGTTTACTTACTTACCTACTTACTTACTTACCTACTTACTTACTTACTTACATACTTACCTACTTACTTACTTACTTACTTACTTACATACTTACACATACTTACTTACACTTACTTACTTACTTACACTTACTTACTTACTTACACTTACTTATTTACACTTACTTACTTACTTTCTTACTTACTTACACTTAATTACTTACTTTCTTACTTACACTTACTTACTTACTTACTTACACTTACTTACTTACTTACTTACTTACTTGGTGTCTGTCCGAAAAACAATTTATTCATGATCCAGACCATGTCCATCAATTTGAAGTAGATGTTAAATTTTCTAAACAATGAGCCGATATTTATCTCAAAAACAACATTTTAACAGTGATAAACATTTTTGAAGTTTATTAATTATAAAAAAAACATCAAAACAATGTATTTTACACACATGTATTTCACACACACACACACACACACACACACACACACACACACACACACACATGTATATATATATATATATATATATATATATATATATATATATATATATATATATATATATATATATGTATATATATATATTTTTTTTTATGTATATATTTTTTTCTTTTTTTGTTGTTTTTTTGTTTATCCGAGCTCTCCAGCCTTATTCTTCCACTTCGTGGTTGCTGGTCCTGTGGCTGTTGAGCACCGGCAGTCAATTGGATGAAATGCAGTGTGCCCATTTTTCTATAAATTAATAATGCTAGTGATGCTGGTGTTTGGCAGGCCCCGCCTGTCAGGGCAGCTGTGGCTATGTTATAGCTCATCCCCACCAGTGTGTGAAAGTGTGTGTGAATGACTGATTGTGTTGTGAAGCACCTTAGGGGGTTGAATAACTCTAAAGGCTCTATACAAATACAGACCATTCACCAGTAAAAGCATAGAAGTCATTAGATGGCTATGACTTGTTTATTTCTAGACATGTGAGGCAGATATTTAACTTTTTTATTCTGTCACAAAACTTTGTCTGCCATAGCATATTTTTTCAGCAAGAAACCTGTAAAATTTAGCTTTACTGTCCTGTTCACTTGTGCAGCCTACCAGTAACGTGTGTTGACCATGTTGATAGACTTTATTTTGCTGCTTTTTAGCTCTGTTTATTGACAACTAACAGATAAACACAACGGTGGTCAATGGGGAGGTGCTGGCTTCTTACCCTCCAGCCTGGGACTGGGGGGTGGAGGTGTGGGCATGTGACATCACGCTGCAATAGGTCTATATTGGATTGAAATAACTAAATAGCTTCATGTGAACATAACAATAAAATAGTGTGGAAATAATTTACATGGTTTTATTAAGTGTGCTCAACTAATGTTTTTGTAGAATTTTAGAATTTGAAACAACTTTTTAACTCTTTAGCTCTATTTTGCATCTTTTTCTTTGTATTTCAACAATGTCGTTTTTACCAAACCGATATAATTTATGTTCAGTGCTGCACATATAGTTTAAGTGCTTTTTATTGTGAGTGAAATTCCTGTTTTTTCACTATTTCTTCATATCATACAAACATATGTGTAGGAGGAGTGACATGAGAGATTTTATTAACCATTGGATCTCATCAAGCTCTGATCCATTTTGAGTCTAATCACTTTGACTCTTGTCCATCTGTGGTTTGATTTATCTGAAGTGAATCCAGCTTGTAACAGTGAGAATGAAGATACCAGCGCTCACTGATTTCACAATCTAAGCAGCTTCAATCTAACTCATTTAAACCTTTTTACTAAACAGTTGAATTTAATTATTGACAAATCAAAACTGACTAAATATAACACAAACGTCTTTGTAAAAACACACAATTGCAGCACGCTGCCTATTGTTCTCTCCTCTGAAAAAATGACTTCCTGTAGCTGTGATTTATCACAATGATCTTTCATAATTGCTTCTTTTGAAGTAGTCTCATGCTTAATCTGTGCAGTTATTATTTTGCAGCTAAATGGAAGATTTTTTTGTTGATGAGTGGTAAAACACCTTGCTGTCTGTTTCATCCCTGCATCCTCCTGTCTGTGTCTCCACAGAGCCCCAGCTGAAGGGGATTGTGACGAAGCTGTACAGTCGGCAAGGTTTCCACCTGCAGCTGCAGGCAGATGGAACCATCGATGGAACAAAGGAGGAGGACAGTGGTTTCAGTGAGTTTTACACCATCACTATCACATCACTGCATCTTTGACTCAATCTATCACTGTTTTTTGTTTTATTATCAATCCAATCCACCACAGTTTACAAATGTATATTAATTTTTCTGTCACATAGATAAAAAATATGTTTTCTCTCTAAAATGACATTTTAACAAGATTTATTCTTCTTCACGTTGTATAAAACAAATCTTTCCATATCTAAAAAGACAGCTCACGATCTCTCCTACACACATCTATGGTGAGAAACAGATTTTTCTACACTATGCATTGATACGTCTTTGTCATAGCTACAACACCCACCAGCTTTTAATTTTATAACAATTTAAAGAGGATAACAGTTAAATAACAAAAGAAAAGATAATTTATTGGTCACACAGCAGCAGAAACGCATAACTGGTTTGTAACAGGTGTGTGTGTGTGTGTGTGTGTGTGTGTGTGTGTGTGTGTGTGTGTGTGTGTGTGTGTGTGTGTGTGTGTGTGTGAAATTGTATTACTGAGAAAACAAGTTGCTGCATGCTAACAGCTTCTATTTATTGCAACTAAATGGATATAAACACATCTGGAATATTTAAATTAGAGGGATGTTGTCTAAAGTTAGTTGGTCCTAAATATAAAGTGGAAACTTTTTGTAGAACACAGAGCAAATAAAATAAATAAAAGTGTATCTTAATATCTTTAACTCACATGAGATTTGCCTCATCCCTAATGACGCCCCCATAACTGCAAGGACTAACTTTTTTTGCAGAGTTACATAATTGCTGGCCTGCATTGCTTTTTCACAAACAAAATAGTTTGTGAAAAGAAAATTAAAGAGTGCTGCTGAACGAGAAAAGGAGAAGGAGTGAAGCTCTTTGCTCTGCTCCAAAAATAACGTTGTTAGATGCTGGGTGCGCTTGTCTCCATGGTGACGGAGAGTGGAGTCCTTCTTGGAGCTAGTGGTGTCTTGTGATGGTGGGACCATCTCAAACGTGTGCACACACACACACACACACGCACGCACGCACGCACGCACACACGCACACACACACACGTGTCCAGTGACAATCAGAATCAGATTGTTGTAATTGCAGCTGGCTCAGCTAACTCTCAGTAGTCATGGTAGTACATACATGTGTTACTAATGTGATAATTTGGTCAAAAATAAGAAAAGTTATATAAAAACAACAAAATGAAAGTTGGATAAATGTTTGTTTTGAGCCTTGGTTTTGGAGAAATCTGCATCACACACAAATAAATCCAGCAGGTGTAAAGAAAGTAATAAAAATATCCCTCAAACTCTTTTAAATCCTTTTGCAGCAAAACATTTAAAAACTGAAAATCGCAAATTATTGCAATCTTTATGCTTAGCACACTTAGCCACATAATTTGTTAAATAAAAAGCCATGGCAATATAATACCACAAAACAAAATGTAAGTGTATCCAGTATCTGTTTGTGGATTTAAAGCATTTTTCTTTAATTCAATACCACAATGACATAGCAAAATACTTCAAATGTGACTATTTGTTGTTGGGAAGCCTTAAGTCGATCTTCTAACTGAATTGGTCATGGTTCCTTGCTCTTTGTGGGTGGAACCGAGACGATCATGAAATCTGTCCATCAGGCTTCCTCCATGTTCCTCTGAGCAGCAGGAAATGTCTCTGTGTGGGTGGTGGTCATGTAATTCTCTTCAGGGTGCTCAGGTGTTTCAAGGAGATGGGAAGCAATTGAGTTTTCCCTTCTTGAAAATCTGCCATCAGTGTGCCAGTGGGTAATCCTTCTAAAATGAAGCTGTGGTGCAGATGTGTTCCTGCAGATGTGTTTGAGCCATCAAGAGAGAAACCACGGTCAAGTGAGGGGGATACAACTTAACAGGATGTTTCAGAGAGAACAGGAAATCTTAAATATGATATGCTCAAGAAAATAAGAATTATTCTAGTTTACTTAAACCTATTTAATTATTTGTAAATACACTGCAAAACATTATTTTAAAGGAAGTAAAAAAGGCTTGTTTTTAAATATTTTAAGTAATTGTTGGACTAAAAAGAAAACATTATTATTTGCAAAAACAGCACTAGTTTAGGTACACTACAATACGGTGAATAATAAAATGAATCTGTTAGATTTGAAACATTCTAGCTAAGCAACTTTTGCTTTACCCGATGGCAGATGTTTTTTACTCAAAACAAGAGAGTTGATCATATTTAAGAATATTTACCTTATGTCAATTACTGCAGTTTTTGCAGAAAATATAATTTTTTTCATTTATTAAGTGGTAAGTGGCCTGTTATTATATAGCACCTTCTAGGGTTGTATCCTGTGATCAGTAGTATTTTACAAGTTATTATAATCCTGGACATTTGCACTAGACACTAATGACATGTAATGTTAAAAACAGCAGGACACATTTCCTTTTGTCTGACCCAATCAGAACCTTCGTTTCTGGCTAGGCGTGGTTATCTGTGGTGTTTGTATAAACCCTCTTTTGCATGTCAAATTCTGATTCACCAGTAAACCAAAATATGACAAAATAAAACCTATCCCACTCCACCTTTTCTTTAGTTCAAAGCGTTCTAGAGAAGTCTCGGACAGTCCATCCGGACTTCCTCTTCAGCCATAAAGAACCTCAGACAAGCTGGATAAAATCTGTTGCAAATTACACCTGACCACAATGGTTCCTTCAGAATAAAAGCTGAACCTCACGACCCCTTCAGGGTCCCGGAGACGCCAATGATAACCTGTCGTGACCTGGAAGCATTCCAAGACTAGTTTGGCCAGCACAGCTGCTTTTCTACCGGCTTTGGTACCAAAGAGGGTCCACGAGGTCCTCAGCATTCTGGTTCTGATGGAGGCTTCCCCTGGGTATGTAGACTGACAGATGGCGTTTCATGTGTGTTATAAATCTCCTACTAAAGTTTAGAGCGAAATATTCACTCCCACGCAGAACTAACTGCTTCTCCGGATCCGCTGGTTCTGAATAACATTCCACACACACACCATCATCATTCATCACGTCTCACTCCACCTTAGTCCATCAGTACACAGAGTGTTTAAGTTAGCCTTGTTTAAATTGTGTAGAAATAAATTTCTTAGCTATTTTAAACCTGGCTCTCTCTCTTTCCTTGGAGTTAGTATGAAGTGTCGCTTAATCCCTGCAATAAAAAGTTCAGATCTTCTGGTTAAAATAGTCAAAGTTCCATCAGATTGATATTTCATAATTCTATGGAATCTCACATTTTATGGTTCATAAGTAAGATGTAAACGACCCATTCTTTACACTGTGCTATAGCAGTCTGAAAGGTGTTTGTATTGTGTCATCATGACCCAAGCTCCTGGTCTGATATTAGCAGTTTATGCAGATGCAGACATGACTCCTACACTGAGTCATGTGCTGATTTATTTATTTATTTACATTTTGAGGCTTTACAGCTCTAGAAACTATTCCCTCTGAACTAAATAATTTTTTTACTAATTAAGTATTAATTTTGCATTCAGAGAAGTTGTTTGTTGTTTATAAAGTAATACAGCTTACAGTTGAAGTGACCACATCTTTTAAATCTGACTTTAGCCGCTGAAATAACATTTAGTTCAATACTTCAGCCTAAGTCGGTGGTTTGTCTCAGATATTGTCTGTCTAACCCTCCCTCCCTCAAGGTTAAAGAACAACAAACATTACAGTGTCATCTCCCACAAAGTCTGGCAGCACGATTCAAAGAAACAGGCGTTCTGCTGCTTCTCACCTACTGGTTGAAAGTGGAATTACAACTGTTGTAAACAACCCTGCTGCAACTAGCGCTAACAATGAACTAACACCAACATGAAGCAACACATACTAAAATAAACCACAAAATAAAAAGATCCACACTTTTGGACAAAAAATTAATACTCACTAGTCCAGTAACAACAAAGACAGGTCACCATCATTCTGTGATTTTTGTAGCAAAAGCTTAACGTGTTAAAAACTATTTTGTGTTGCTTTATAACTGAACCAGAGCATTCAAACACAATCCACACTTTATTAACGATATACAAACAAAAAGTGGACACTGGTTGACACTGACAGAATACAGTTGTGGATGACTGATGTGTGAAAGAGCTTCTGCTGCCCTGCCCTGCCCAGCTTTCTGTGCCTGAGCCATCTACAGGTCTACAGGTGGTTCCGAACCACCTGTAGACGGCTCAGGGAGGTTTTACTCAGGCAAGTGAAAAGGGAGTTGCAGTAGTCTAAGCATGAGGAGATGAAGGTGTGGAGAACAGTCTCAAGTGCTCTCAGGCTTAGATTTTTTTACATTGATCAATTGTTTATCTCACTAATTCTTTACATTTTAAGGAGGTGAAATCAGATGTTACATGGATGGATAAGTGTTATGTATGAAATCAGAGTGATAGTGTTTATGAGCCATGATCATGATCAACTAAAGAAACAACAAAAATGCATGTTTGCTTGACAGTAAAGATTAATTAAAATGTACAAAATTTAGACTTTTTGTCCAACTAGAAGTTTCCTGGGAAACCTTCTGCGGCACAAAATAGCTTCTTTTTTTTTCTTTGATTATTACACATGGTCACACATGAGCACACACGTTACAGCCCAGTACACCCAGCAGAAAAAGTTTTAGATCTAAAACCAGAGGATTTTCAGTTTCTGGCAAATCCTTTACTTACAAATCAAAAACTCCGACATGCATCCCTGTAACTGTTTACTCAGTCAGCTGAAATATAAGGATGTCTGCAGAGACAAAACGAAAAGAACGATGAAGTGTCCCTCTGAAAAACCTCTGTAGTGCACTTCACCCTAAAGACCTCATGATAGGGATCCACTAAGTGGTTGTCAAGAACATTTATGGATGAGAACACACTGAACAAAAGCTTATGAGAACCTAAAAAAGAGAATTTTCCACATTTATTTGAGCTCCCTGTAAACTGAAAAAAAAAAACAGCATGTGCAGAAATTATAGCGATATTAAACTTCCTGTCTGGACGTAATTTAGAAATTAAACACAAACAAAGCTGTAGTGATGTGAATATTCTTTGTAAACATTTGCAGTAATGGCCAATATACCACAAAGCAAACTTTACTGGGACCAGAGTCCCATATGCATCCTCTCAGGTGGACGTTTATCTATTGAGCCCGTAGGGTCAGCACCAGCGCTTTATGAAATACAAACACAACAGGTTGACATTAATTAGAAATGGACGGCAATGAACAGCTGCCAGGGCTTTCAGCCTCAAAGCCTGCAGCCAGCTCACCGAACACGGACAGATTTATGTATTCCTGCATTTTGACCTGAGGTTCCATGTGTTTAATTGTGCAACCTGCTGTCTGTAGTCTAACATGCACCATCAAGAAAGTGATTTTCTATGTTAATCTATTTTTAGGATAAATTTGTCTAGATTTATGAATTTTATTATTTTCAAAAACTAAAGTGATGAGACTTTTCAGTGATATCCTGAACTAGAGCAACACACACAGGTCACTTTACTTGTGGATTATCTTCAGAGAGGAGGACACACCAGGCCAGAACAATAACAGCTGTCCACATCGCTACTGGATGATTGACAGAATTCTAGCCAATGACATTACAGCGCTTGTTTTAGTTAGTCAGTCTGACACATCTGTAGGGTAAAGAAGTGGTGAACCATGATTCACAGACTTCATTTCTCTCTCTGTTTTTTCCTTTTTCTCAGACATCATCCAACAATAAAAATCACTATTAACCTGTTTAGTTCTAAAATAAAATATAATGTAAATGTTGCATTTGGCAGCTGAATTTAGAAGCATTAGTCAAGAGAGAGAGTATAAAGTAGCTCATGATCAAGTTTTTGAAGCACAAGATGAATCACAACTATAACAAAACTGTTGAACTCTGACCCCATCAGAAAATGTGTTTGTAAATACGTATAAAGCAATTTGTTAGAGAAAGCTGCTGTTACATATTACTAAGAGACTGAGAAGGACAAAGACTAAATGACTCTAGGCTTAAATCCTTCACAGGCATTTTCTGTAGCAATGAGGATGATAAGGATTTTTCCTCATAAAGAAAACAAATGTTGTCCAGCTATAAACATAGTAGCTCCTTGGTTCATCATGTTTTCCATGTTACAGTTTTTTCATCGTGTTAGTGAGTCTTTATAGAGATTTAAACGATTAGCAACAACGCCCACTTATCTGTCACTAGTGACTGCCTCAGCAGTTTTGAAATTCAGCTCCTCAAAGTAACGTTCACAATAAAAATTCACAAACGACCCAAATATTCTGATCTGATGATTACAGCAATGCTAGAGGAATGTCTCAAGAATAAGTTGTTGAATGTTTTGTACATTTTCTAACCCTTAAAAAATTTATTTGAAACATTGTATATATTTTTTTCAATTTATAGTTTAATGTGAACATTAGCAATAACACTGCCTATCTATCCATCCATCAATTTTCGTCTGCTTATCTGGAGTTGGGTCGCGGGGGCAGTAAAGTCCCTCTCCCCGGCCACTTGGGCCAGCTCCTCCCGGGGAATCCCAAGGCGTTCCCTGGCCAGGTGAGAGGCATAGTCCCTCCAACGTGTCCTGGGTCTACCTTTAGGTCTCCTCTCAGTTAGACGTGCCCAGAAAACCTCACCAGGGAGGTGTCCAGGAGGCATCTTAATCAGATGCCCAAGACGTCTCAACTGGCTCTGCTCGATGTGAAGGAGCAGCATATCTACTCCAAGCCCCTCCATGACGACTGAGCTTCTCACTCTCTAAGGGAGACCCCAGACACCTTGTGGAGAAATCTCATTTTGGCTCCTTGTATCCACAATCTCGTTCTTCCGGTCACTACCCAGAGCTCATCATCATCATTATCATCATCATGCTTTATTTGTATAGTGCTTTCCACCACCGTCAAAGGAGGCCTAAGGTGCTTGTGACCATAGGCAAAGAACGTAGATCGGCCGGTAAATCGAGAGCTTCCCCTTCTGGCTCAGCTCTCTCTTCACCACGACAGACCGGTACAATGCCCACATCACTGCAGGCGCAGCATCAATCCGCCTCTGTCGATCTCACGCTCCAGCTTTCCCTCACCCGTGAACAAGACCCCAAGATACTTAAACTCCTCCACTTGGGGCAGGACCTCATCCCTGACCCGGAGAAGGCATTCTACCCTTTTCCGATACAAGACCGTGGTCTCGGATTTAAAAAAGTGATTTTCATCCCAGCTTCTTCACACTCAGCTGCAAACCGCACCAGCAAAAGTCATTCTGACAAAGCCAACAGGATCACATCATCTACAAAAAGCAGAGACCCAATCCTTAGGCCACCAAAATGGATCCCCTCAACACCTTGGCTGTTCCTAGAAATCCTGTCCATAAAAGTTATGAACAGAATCGGTGACAAAGGGCAGCCTTGGCAGAGTCCAACTCTCACCAGAAATGTACTCGACTTACTGCCAGCAATGTGGACCAAGCTCTGACACCGGTCATACAGGAACCTAACAGCCTTTATCAAAGGGTCTGGTACCCCATACTCCCAGAGTACTCCCCACAGGGCCTCCTAAGGGACACAGTTGAACGCCTTCTCCAAATCCACAAAACACATGTAGATTAGTTGGGCGAACTCCCACTTGCACTCCAGGACTCCCCCGAAGGGTTTAGACCTGGTCCAGGGTTCCATGGCTAGGACCAAAACCTCATTGCTATCCTTCTCAGCAGCAGCACTGCAGGTGCTCTCCATGTCCAAAATGTGCGTAAGCCAGGTCCTTAGTCAACTTAAAGTTGCGCACATTTTTCCGGTACGTTTTCTTTTATAAATCCCAAAGTTTGCGTGGAAAGTTGCTTACGCAGTTTTCCGGCCCCGTTTTGTGCGTAAGCAAGCTTGATAAATGAGGCCCCTGATCATTAGGGCGTTTTGACACGTTCAGCTAGCTGATTCAGCAGAAACAACCGTTCTTCCCACGTAGCAGGTAAAGGTAAATTAGACGGAGGAGGGGGTGCCAGGTTGGCCTCATAAGAAAGTGATGTACTTCAGTAAAGTTGGTGAGTTATTGTCAGATTCGACACTTACAGCTTAATAACTTCTAATCAGAAGGTCATTTTGAAACATAACATACCTCTTTGGTATCATGGAAAGGTAGTGAACAAAATACAACCTCCTTTATTCTAAACAACCCGTCTTCTGCACGCGACGTGTTATGAAACTGCCGCGAGCGCTCAGGGACCGTCTGCGAATGTAAACACCACTCTGCAGGTGATGCAGCCACATCATTGCAAATAATTTAAATATTGAGGTTTTTATTTTCATCTCTTTCTGAAAAATTTGAAGTATGTACAGTATAAATTACATAATACTGCAGTAAGGTTCATGTTCATAAAATGTTGTATTCGTTTTCCTCTGTTCTGTGTATTAGCCGCTGTAAAAGGTTTAGTAAGGGATTAACATATATTTTTTTCATTCTGCAATTTTGCACCATGTCCAGCAAATTGCACCCCAGGCGGCCGCCTGTGTCGCCTGTGGGTAAAACCGGCCCTGCTCCAGAACTTGGGTGCAGCATGAGTAAAAATCCCACTTATAATTTTTATTCAAAGATTTGTTGCCACATTGTGCTCATTTATATTATAATAACATTCTTTTTCTGGTTCTGATTTAGGTCATTCACTCACAAAAAGGCTTTCTAGCTTTCTCCTCTCTAACCTTTCTTTGCTGTGCAGGCAGAATCAAAACGGAAGCTTCAGAAATATTCCTTGATCCTTTTGTGATTTTTCATTCTGTTCCATCCCTCTTCAGCCACGTTCAACCTCATTCCAGTGGGCCTGCGAGTGGTGGCCATTCAGGGGGTGCAGACCAAACTCTACCTGGCGATGAACAGTGAGGGCTACCTCTACACATCAGTAAGTGTTAGACTTAATGTGTTTCTTATTGGATTGCATTTGTTCCACATCATTGAGTAAAATACTCCATATTTGATTTAAATAGCATGAATAGGATGGACAAAAAAGGCAAACACAGTAATTTTCTTTCATTCTTCATATTTAAAGTGATTTATTTTCCTGCTCACTCAGACGCAACATCCTCAACCTGGTGAATAACATCATTTCCTGATAAATTCTATGTCAACAAAAAGGTTCAAGGATTGTATAAACCAGCTAAGCTGTGACTTCTTCGACAGTCAAAGCTGGCTCTTCATCTTTGATTAAATGCACAAATTATGAATTATTCAGTTGCTGGCCGAGTAATGTCTCTGTTCATCTTCCTCCCAAATGCCATCACCACACGTGAGGCAGGCGTCACTCAGAAGACTGACAGCCTGGTTGAATGTGTAGCCAGAGGGCATGAAGACACACACACACACACACACACACACACACACACACACACACACACACACACACACACACACACACACTTATGCCCAGTGAAAAGGCCTGGTTAGTGGTGGTTCTAGTGGGGAAAAAGTGAAGTGGAATATCAAGGTGTGGTTATTAAAAGTGGAAATTTCAAAGCACTATCTATAAAATAAAACAGAAAAAAATATGATAATGCATTTAATTAAAATTGAATTCTTTATCCTTTTTGAATATTTACTAATGCCTCTATTTTACTCACATAGAAGAGGGAAAAAACTAGAGTCTATAAAGGATACAGCTGACTGCACACAATGCATCATCTATGCTGTTTCAAATAGTAGCTCTCATGAGGAATACAGCACGCCTTATCCATGTGTTAAATTGGATGAAAGCAGATGGGGGATGGGCTGCAGAGCTTCTCATTTCTGCTAAATTAGAGAGGAAATTGAACTGAATGTGTAGCTGGCTACCTAACAGTGCTTGTCTCCCTGGTACTGCTGCTATGGTGAGTTGCTGTCCACACACACACACACACACACACACACACACACACACACACACACACACACACACACACACACACACACACACACACACACACACACACACACACACACACACACACATTGAATCAGCCAATAGCAGGTCAGCTTTGGGGAGAACCCCAATCAAAGGTGGAGACACAGAAGATGACACAGTTAGGGTGGGGTATAGAGCGCTGCTGCTAAGGGACTCAGCACCTTTCTTTACATGAACGTTCATCCAAGCAGGCGGAGTGGAAATGTAAGTGAATGCCAAAGAAATATGTACTATGAAGAAAAAACATATATTTGATTTATAATGTTTGCATTCACAGCAGGTTCATTTAATATACATTTATTGTAAAGTGGAATTGACTAAAAATATGAATACATGTTATTAAATTTAATGTTCTCCAGTTGCTTGTAATGTTAATATCATTTAGACCAGAAATGGGATCAATGTTTGGCAAAAACAGCAATAAAACCAAAAAGAAAGAAAGAAACATGAGAACAATGCTCTTTAGCTAGCTAATGGTTTCACCTAAGCATTTACTGCAGTGTTTAGTATGATAATGATATCTAACATGAACTCTAAAACAAGGAACTAACTGCTGCACACTTTTTACTGAAATGTTTAATCAGAGGTGAATGCTAATGTTTTGACACAAAGTGAGCCACGTATTTATAATTAGGTGCGCAGAGTGAGACTGGGCGGAGCTTAATCCTTTGTTACAAATAAAAGTTAAACACAATACAGGCATCTTTGACTCTTGGAAAAACACATTTACAAGAAATAAATTACAAGGAAGAACTGCACAAATGTTTATTTTATTTTTATTTTATTTATTTAACCTTTATTTAACCAGATGAGTGGATTGACAACTTATTCTCATTTACAATGACGATCTGGCCAAGAGGCAGCAGCAACAGACACATAGTTAGTTTTACACCAGAGAAAAACAGGTAAGATAAATACATACAAGATCAAAATAAGATAAAACAATTAGAAATAAAGACTGTTCTCATATATAATATGTACAAGTAATCAGAACAGACTTAAAACAATCTTTAAGTATTCAGAAGCACATTGATCAGAAACTATTGATTGTAATGAATTATTGAAGGTAGATAATGGAATGTAGGTAGTGAGCTTTAGTGATTTTTGCAGCTCGTTCCAGTCGTTGGGAGCAGCAAACTGGAAGGAGGAGCAGATAAGGAGGTGTGAGCTTTGGGAATAACCAGAGATTAAGTTATTGGAACATAAATTGCGCTGGTTGTTGGAAGTGATGAGTATTGGGGGAAGATATAACGGTGTTTTACCGATGATTGTTTTGTATATACGCTGATACCAATGTAACATCCTGCAGGAATGGAGTGATGGCCAGTTAACTAGTGTACAGATCACAATGATGAGTACTGAAAGGGGCACCAGTATTGAAACGGATTGCTGAGATATAAATGGCTTCGAGTTTATGAAGAAGTTTTTTGGAAGCAGTCCTATAAATGATGTCACCGTAATCTAAGATGGGAAGGATTGTCATTTTGACCAAAGTTTGCTTTGCAGAATGAGTAAAGATGACCTGTTGTGGTATAGAAACCCAATTGGTGACTTGACTTTAGAAAGTTATGAATTAATATGAACGTCAAATGAAAGTGTGCTGAAATATGTTGTCTGTCATGAACAAGAACATGTAGTAATATTATATTCTACAGATAAACATGAATGCCTCTTTAATGGCCAATCAATATCAAAGTAAAAAAACAACCTGCTACAGGTTTTGTGGCTCTGTGAGAATGTTTTTGGATCCTGAACTAAATGATCTGCATGTAGCTCACAAGCTTCCTTTGAAGTGGTGTTATTCATTTCCTGGTGGGTCATATTTGAGTTAGAATGAGTCACCCAGGCTCCAGTTGAGTCTCGTCTAGACTGTGTGCTCTCTCTCTCTCTCTGTGTGTGTGTGTGTGTGTGTGTGTGTGTGTGTGTGTGTGTGTGTGTGTGTGTGTGTGTGTGTGTGTGTGTGTGTGTGTGTGTGAAATTAATCATTAAGGGTGTGTGAGGTACAGATTTATCAGGTAAGGTTTTAATAATCTTGTAGCTAAAATTAACTTTCCATTGAAAGCTTCACTCATGCAATAAAATAAAATAATTATACTTATTTAAAGGGAACCCTGTAGAGCTTCAGCTAAAATTCTATTACGTTTCTTCAAAAATGTTTTTAAATTTCCACATGAGTTTGAATAGTTGGGAAACTAAATGTATGATGCTGAAAAGCTCTTAAGGCTAAAGAAAAAGTATTTTTATTTCAACTAAATCCAAGGATGCTGGGAGGCAGGAAGTCCAAAAAAAGTAAAAAATAACTAATTAAATAAAACGAACATAACATGACAAGAAAGAAACCAACACTTGGCAGGAGGAGACACACTAAACACCAAGGACAAACACTTAAAGGGAAGCTGCCGAGCAACCAGCAAAAGCCTGAACCTACGGAACTATTGGCCTACACAGGACAGGTATGGTGACTGCATGACACACACACACACACACACACACACACACACACACACACACACACACACACACACACACACACATGTAACGTTATGAACTTCATAATTTTCAGCTCCACACAGCTGCCCCTGTACACAGTAACACCCGTGTAGAAAACGCCAAGGTCGGGTGTTCCTCAGACTGTATACATTCCAGGAGAAGAGCCAGAAGGAGAAGAACGCTTTTCAATAATCAAAGTACTTAATTTGTGATTAAAGCTAGTCGAAACAGATGTTGATCAATAATAATCAAGTGCATGATCTGTGGAATAAAGATGTCATGATTTATGTGTTTAATGAAAACAGGACTACTGCACAGACAGACTGACCCTCATCTCCATAGAAACGCATGACACATTGTTCCAACCAATCAGAGCTTTCAGCTGCCGCAAGAGAATCTGGCTTGTTGACTTAAAGTGTCCAATCCGCTTTACTAAAACTTATCAACAATTCAGAGATATAAAACAAGGCAACGCCATTTTAAGCTCAGTTCCATTTTGACTTCAGTTCTAGTCACCGTCATCCCAAAGAGAAGCACAGCCTGGCCAGATATGTTTTCTTCTTTAAACTAAGAACTGTGAAGTTGGAGATTTTCGTCGTTTAACAACCAGACGACATCCTTTCAAAATAAGAGCACCTGCTGACGCTGCCGATTGTTACCTGGGTCGACCCTTCAGACGGGCTTTGAAACGCTGCGATCGCTGTTTCGACCAGCTCCAGCGCACATCCGAGGTCTTCAGACCTGGCATTTCCTGATCTACCTGGGAGGCCCCCACTGGGTACGTACACGGCAAAAAAGCAGCTCATGTCACCACTTTATAAGCCTCGTGATATCTAGTCATAACAATCAGATTACCAGATTCAATGACGTCAGCCTAAGGAGTCTGAACCAACCACACACACACACACACACACACACACACACACACACACACACATCGAACATCACATTAATTTCCAAACAACACAGAGTTAGTCTTGGTAGATTGTTAAGAATTTATAATTAAGAAATTAAATATTCTTAAACGATCCCAACTCTCTCTCTTTTCTTGTCTCAAAGTCAATACAGAGTGTTTAATTAAACTCCCTGATGATAAAAACAGCCTATTCTTCTGATTATAACAAGTGATCTACTTACAGTATATTAAAATACAACTCTAGATAGTTTCATCACTCTATTTCTCTACACACACACACACACACACACAATGAGCTATGGGTTGTGAAAAAATACCTTAAACAATTGAAGAAAAAATAACAATTAAAAAAAAGAAATAAAAGATTTCACAAAAAAAGAAAACATCCATACCAACTTTTCATTGTCATGCTGTTTGAAGTTAACTATTATAGTTTGGTAGTTAGGTAGAAAGAATAAGTTTTCCATGTGCTAGTCCCAGTTTTATTCCTTATCACTTATGGAATATTCATTAAACTAATGCCTTTGATCTTTTAACAAGACATCCGGCTTTCTGCTGC